CTGTGGGGCGTCTGGATGTGCAGCGGTCTTCGGCTCAGGTCATGATCTCACGGTTTGTGAGTTCAAGGCCCGAGTCAGGCTCTGTGCTGACAGCTTTGGATTCTGTTTCTCTCTCACTCTCTCTCTCTCTCTCTCTGCCCCTCCCCTGCTCAGCCTCTTGCTCTCTCTTAAAAGCAAACATTAAAAAAATAAAAACATCAAAAAATAAGAAAAGGGTGCCTGGGTGGCACAGTCAGTTAAGCATCAGATTCTTCATCTCAGCTCAGGTCATGATCTCACAGTTCATGAGTTTAGGCCCCTGCACTGTTGGTGCAGAACCTGCTCGGGATTCTGTCTCTCCTTCTCTCTGACCCTTCCCTGCGTGTGCTTGCTTTCTCTTTCTCAAACTTAAAACAAAAACTTAAGAAGAGAGGCCTGCAGCCCTAAGCTGTCCCCTGCATCTTGGGAGTCTGGATTTCTCCCTGGCCATTGGCATGACGGTCATCAGCCTAGAGGACAGGAACTTCAGGGGCATGGTGGGGGCACCAAATAAAGGTAAGGCCCAAAGCTGGCCCCCCTTGGCGGAAGCATTCAAGGCCAGGGAGGGACAAGAAGCTCCTGGCGCTTTGAAGGAAAGGCCTAAGACTTGCTTGTATTTGGAGTTGTGCCTGGCGCACAGCAGAAGCTCCAGACGTGTTTGCTGACCAGCCCGGATGGCCTTGGCAGCCCACAGCACAGCTGGCTGGATCTGCTCCTGGCATGGGTGGCAAAGAATGAGCCCAAAGTCCCAAGAGCTTTGGTTACCGGCCCGGCTTCCAAACTGGGAGTGTTCCATGTAGAAACTGGGGCTCCAGTGGTCCCCGAGAACAGCTGCCCCCTCCCATCCCTTATTAGAATCTGAGCTTTGTGTCTTGACACTTCAGTAAGCAGAAGCTATAGCAGGTCAGGATGCTGCTGGGGACGGGGTGGTAGCTGAGAGGATAGGCTCAGGGTCAGCCAGGCTCAGGTTCAAGGCCCAGTTCCCCCATGTGGATGAGTTTCCGAACCCATCTGGGCTTCCCTGTCTGTAAAACGGGAATGAAAGCAGTGTCTAATAGGCTTGAAGGGATTTAATGACATAATCTGTGCAAAGCCTGGTGACTAACAATATTTGACAGCAGAAGTAAAGGGCACTGACCAATCAGAACACAGACTGGTAGTAGTAAACAACCAGTACTGCCCTCTGGCTGAGTACAGCCCCCATATCAGGGCTTACCACAAGCTCAGGGTTAGTATTACCAATAGTACAGAAGCTGCTATCATTCATGTTACAGCAGGGCAAAGGGGGTCCAAATCAGAAGATAGGCTAGCCCTCTGGAAACAACCACAAAGAGAAACTCCCAGAATGAGTGAGAGGGTGGCCATCTGCCGAGAGCAAACATTTTCAGAGAAGGTGTCTGTAGATATCAGCATGGGAGATGTGGACCCAAATCCCATCAGGGGTCCAGGCTGTGACTGCAGCAGAGAAGCGAGAGCTACACAGAGCTCAGAGACCCTCAACTGCATGAAGAAAAACCAAGTCTAAAAAAACTTTTTTGAACATTTATTTATTTTGGGGGCACCTGGGTGGCTCGGTCAGTTGAACGTCCGACTTTGGCTCCGGTCATGATCTCACTGTTCACGGGTTCGAGCCCGGCATCGGGCTCTGTGCTGACAGCTCAGAGCCTGGAGCCTGCTTGGGATTCTGTGTCTTCCTCTCTCTGCCCCTCCCTGGCTCATGCTCTTTCTCTGTCTCTCAAAAATAAATGTGTGTGTGTGTGTGTGTGTGTGTGGTTTTTTTTTTTTTTTTTAATGTTTATTTTTGAGAGAGAGAGAGAGACAGAGCATGAGCAGAGGAAGGGGCAGAGAGAGAGGGAGACACGGAATCCGAAACAGGCTCCAGGCTCTGAGCTGTCAACACATAGCCCAACACTGGGCTCAAACCCACGAACCATGAGATCATGACCGGAACCGAAGTCGGATGCTTAACCGACCGAACCACCCAGGCGCCCTGAAAAACTGAGTCTAGCAGGAAGGACCCAAAGGCTAAGAACAGCACAGAGACGGACACAGATTCTGGTAGGGAAGAGGCACCTCTAGAATGCCTGTCTTCAGTCAGGAGCCAGTTCTCACTATCGCCTGGACAGATGTGGGTCAGCAGCCTCTAGGCCTGCCTCAGCCACTGGGCATCTGGCTGGCACCGTGGTATTTCCATCACTGTGGTGGGTATCACTGGCAATTCGGTCACGATAACGCAGTCCCGTGTGACAGATGGCTCTGGCTTTGCTGGTACGAGTGAGTTTTTCAGCCAGTAGAGCAGAGGACAGACCAATAAGGGTGCCACCCCGCCCCGCTCCCGCCAACCCTGTGACATCTGGCCAGGAAAGTGGGAGCGAGGGTCAGAGGTCAGAGGCAGACTTCTCCTGAACAAATTTCATGCAACCCGCTAGATGGGCTTCAGAAACAGAGTAAACACATCTTTCAAATAAAATCAATGTTTCAGAGTTCCTCCACCGAACAAACAGGAACACTTGCCCTTAGATCAAATCCAGGTTCTCTAAGACTGAAACAATACAAAGGACGAGTATAGGACAAATGGATATGTTTTCAATCAAAATGAAACAATGGAAATAAAAACAAGGGTGTAGGCCTGGCAGGCATTGGGATCCCTCCTCTCTCTCTCTCTCCTTATTTAGAAAGCGTTCCTCCTCCATCCCAGCACTTAGCCAGAGGAGGCCGGATGGTGTCTGCCTCCCACCCAGAGCAGGAGAGCCTGGGGCTTTTATCTGGCCAATTGCACACAGGAGAGTCCACTGATGTCCGTTGAATTAATGGATGACTGATAATAACAGCAAATATTTATTCTGTGCTTACCAGTGCCAGGTGCTAGGCTGGGCACTTTATGAAAATGATCTCATTCAGTTCCTTTTTATAACCGTTGGTCGGGAGGAATCGCTAGCCCCCATTGTACAGATGAGAAACTGAGGCTCAGGTGCAGTCATCTGCCTGAGATCCTAAGAGCAGAGATTTGGGCTCAGGACTGTTGGGTGTCAGAGCTCAGGTGGGTAAAGCATTCATAGAGAAGCGGTGCCTGGTCCCCCGCGTCTCTGAGAGTGGTGCCTGGATGGGAGGCATGGTTTATGAGTTCAATCCCATTTCATCCAGCCCTAAGGGCCACTCATTGTCTTGTCTTTTGTTTTGCCTAGGCTAAAAAATGCTTTACTGAGGAGCCAAGGTTTTTTTGAAAAAAGCAGCTTTTATTGAGGGGTGCCTGGCTGACTCAGTCAAAAGAACACTCGACTCTTGATCTAAGGATTGTGAGTTCAAGCCCCACATTGGGTGTAGAGATTACTTAAATGAAAAAATAAATTTAGGGGTGCCTGGGTGGCTCAGTTGGTTAAGCGTCTGACTTCAGCTCAGGTCATGATCTCACAGTTCATGAGTTCGAGGCCCACGTCGGGTTCTGTGCTGACAGCTCAGAGCCTGGAGCCTGCTTCGGATTCTGTGTCTCCCTCTGTCTCTGGGGGGGGGGGGGGGGGGCGGCGCGCCACCGCTCGCGCTGTGTCTCTGTCTCTCTCAAAAATAAACATTAAAAAAATAAAAAACCAGCTTTATTGAGATACATTACACATATCATACAATTCACCCATTCCAAGTATAAAATTCAGTGGTTTTAGTATATTTGAAGATCTGTGCAACCATCACCACGGTCAATTTTAGAACACTTTCCACACCACAAAGAGAACTCTGTACCCTTGGTTATCACTCTTTATCCCCTCCATTTCCCTCAGCCCTAAGCAACAACTAATCTCCTTTCTGTCTCTGCAGATTTGCCTACTCTGAACACTTATGTATCTGGAATCATACAACTTGTGGTCTTTTGTGACTAGCTTCAGGCATTTACCATGCGTTCAAGGCTCAACCATGTAGTTCCATACTGTGTATCAGCACTTCACTGTTTTTATGCCTGAGAAAAATTCATTGTTATGGGCATGCCACATTCTCTTTATCCATCTATCCCTTTGGGTTGTTAACATCTTTTTTTTTTTTTTTTAAGTTTATACATTTATTTATTTTTTAGTAATCTCTACACCCAATGTGGAGCTCGAACTCATGACCCCAATATCAAGAGTCGCATGCTCCTCCAACTGAGCCAGCCAAGCGCCCTCAGTTGTTACCACCTTTTGGCTAATGTGAATAGTCCTACCATGAGCATTAATGTAGAAGTTTTGTGTGGACCTATGTTTTTTTTTTTTTTTTTTTTTAATGTTTGTTTATTTTTGAAAGGCGCGGGGGAGGGGCAGAGACAGAGAGGGAGGGACAGAGGATCTGAAGCAGGTTCCACGTTGACAGCAGTGAGTCGGATGCAAGGCTGGAACCCACGAACCGTGAGATCATGACCTGAGCCGAAGTCCAGACGCTCAACCGACAGAGACACCCAGGCGCCCCTGGACCTACGTTTTCAATTCTCTTGTGTACGTACTTAGGAGTGAAATTCCTGGGTCACATGGGCACTCTATGTTGAGCATTTGGTGGAAATGCTTAACTGTTTTCCATTCCCACCAGAGACTGAGGGTTCTGATTTCCCCATATTCTCAGCAACATTGCTGTAATTGCTATTGTCTTTCATTTTGGCCAGACTAATGGGTGTGAAATAGCACCTCATTGTGCTTTTGGTTTACATTTCCTTAATGCTAATGATGTTGAGCACCTTTTCATGTGCTTATTGGCCATTTGTAATCTTCTTGGGGAAAACGTTCAAGTCGTTTGCCTATTTTAAATTTATTTGTCTTTTTTGAGTTGTAAGCGTTCTTTATGTGTTCTTGATACAAGGCCCTTAAATATATGATTTGCAAATATTTTCTCCCATTCTGTGGGTTGTCTTTTTACTTTCTTCATTGTGTCCTTTGATGCAGGAAAGTATCTTATTTTGATGAAGTACAACTTATCTATTTTCCTTTTATCTCTTGTGCTTTTGGTGTCATATCAAAAAAGCCACTGCCGTGCTCGCTTCGGCAGCACATATACTAAAATTGGAACGATACAGAGAAGATTAGCATGGCCCCTGCGCAAGAATGACACGCAAAAAAGCCACTGCCAAGGTCACAAAGATTTATCCCTATATTTATTTCTAGAAGTTTTCAGAGGTGCCTTTTCAAATTTTTTTTTTAAAAAATTTTATTTTATTTTAGAGAGAGAGTGAGCAAACAGGAGAGGGAGGGGAGAGAGAGAATGTTAAGCAGGCTCCACGCTGAGCTTGGAGGCTCGATCCCTCGACCCTGGAATCAGAACCTGAGTGGAAATCAAGAGTTGGAGGCTCAACTGACTGAGCCGCCCAGGCACCCCCAGAGCTGCATTTTTTTTTTTTAATTGAAGTGTAAATAACATACAGTGTTATATTAGTTTCAGGTGTACAACATAATGATTCAACAATTCTATACATTACTCTGGGCTCATCATGATGAGTATCAGAGATGCATTTTATTTTATTTTATTTTATTTATTTATTTATTTATTTTAACGTTTATTATTTTTGGGACAGAGAGAGACAGAGCATGAACGGGGGAGGGGCAGAGAGAGAGGGTGACACAGAATCGGAAACAGGCTCCAGGCTCCGAGCCATCAGCCCAGAGCCTGACGCGGGGCTCGAACTCACGGAGTGCGAGATCGTGACCTGGCTGAAGTCGGACGCTTAACCGACTGCGCCACCCAGGCGCCCCCAGAGATGCATTTTAAATGCACTACTCCACTCTTTGGGCAACCCCCCCCCCCCCAGCAGACCCCAAGCTCTAAACCTGGACACAACTCTTCACAAAGCCCCCCACCCTAGTCCCAAATAGGCTGCTTACATTTCAGCATTTCTGCCTCGCGGTTTCATATAGATGCAAATGTGGACAGGCGTCCAGGCAGGGACAGCTTGAAGGTTCAGGACGCAGTCTGGTGAAAGAGGCGGTGGTGAGTGTCAGATGCTGCGTCCAAGGCTCAGGACTGAGGAAGCACCTGCTGGGGCCAACAGCCCCACCTACCTTGGCAGCCCCGGTAGGTCCTTCCAGTGGAGGCTGGGCCCACTGCTGTCCAACTGCCACTCCTTCCTCCTTCCGTTGCTAGCAGTTATGATAGCGGGGCCACTATAGAAAAGGGCCTGTAGAAAGCGACTCCCTGGTCACCACCCAAACTTGGCTTTCCTCATCTCAATTTACGCATCGTGCCAGGCCACCCTCTCAGAGACCCAAGATCAGGGTCTGATGACCTCTCACGGCGGCAGGACTCTAGGACCTGGGAGAGCCCTTTGGGAAATTCAGGTCGGCTGGATGCCAGCCCTGCTACTCTGGCTGTGGGTGAATGGCCTGGCCGGTGTTGGTAGCAGAGAAAGGGGCACCAGGGCCAGGGAAGGGCAGCTCAGATCTTCCAGTCCAGCCAATACCACTCGAGTGGGCACCCGCCGGTCTCTTCCAAAGTCCGCCGCCCGCCGCGGTGGGGGTGTGGGACAGATCCTTCCGCGGTGGGGGTGTAGGGGAGATCCCAACCCCGAGCGCCCAGCAGGTGGCTTGGGCCGCGAGGCGCGCCGGGGCGGGCCCGGCGCGGCGGGGGCGGGAGGAGGCCTGCGGTGGGGGCGGGGGGCGCGTGCAGGAATGCGCGCCGCCCCCGCGCGGCCCCGCCCCGGGCATCCCGCGCCGACCTGGCCTCGCTGCAGGGTGAGCATCATGGCCGCTTGGAGACAGCCCCAGGCCGGGGAGCTGCTGGCCGAGGCCCGTAGAGCGTTCCGGGAGGAGTTCGGGGCCGAGCCCGAGCTGGCGGTGTCGGCGCCGGGCCGCGTCAACCTGATCGGGGAGCACACGGACTACAACCAGGGCCTGGTGCTGCCCATGGTGAGGGGCCGGGCGGGGAGCCTCGAGCCTCCCCAGCGGCAGGGCCGGCCTTAGGCGCGCGGGGAGGTGCCTGGTCCCTGCGTGGATGTTGGGCGGCCGCGCCAAACTTTAGCCATCCTGCCCCGGGTTTGGGGGACGAGCACGTCGGAGAGACCCGGGGACGGGGTATTTCCCACGTTGGAAGGGAGGAAGCGGGGGATCCGCGAGGAAGTAGACTAGGAGGGGGTGTGCCGGCGCCTCTTCGCTCAAGCCCGCCCTCTGTGGACGTGATCCTTCTCATCACGCTGGGAGCCACCTCAACTTGTGCGGCTTCAGTGTGGCTTGCGGAATGGGGGCGCTTCGGGCTTTGGCTTCCGGGGGCCCCAAACGCAGACCTGGGGGAACTAGCCTCAGACCTCCTGGCCCTACCCGTTCGGGAGGAAACTGAGGCCCAGAGAGGGTCAGTGATCTGCTGAAGGTCACACAGCTGGTTCTTGGTGGGGCTGGAGTCAGGCCTCTCAGCTCTTTCCACCTGGTGCGGCTTGGCAAGCGAGCGGGTACAGTGCACCTGAGACCACTCCAAAATGGGAACGCGTCAGTTGGAGCTCCTCTTACTCTCCTTTCCTGCTCCGTGCCCCACAGCTGAGAGCCCATATTCAGGGCAGAGTCCAGGTCTACACTTCTGCAGCACTGGCCCTGCCCCCCCCCCCCCCCAAGACCCAAGGGCAGAACCCAAGCCCCCAGGGCCAGCTCAGCACTCAGGTTCTTCCCTGAGGACCCCCCCCCCCCCCCGCCAATTCCTTCCTGTTGAGCCTTAAAAGAAATCTGTCTGAAACTTTTTATTTCTCAGAACTTTAGTATCAGAGAAGCCTCATCCATGGGTCGCCTGGCAAAAGCTTTACATACCCCCTGTCTTTCCTGCCAGGCGCTGGAGCTTGTGACTGTGCTGGTGGGCAGCCCCCGGGCAGACGGCCTTGTCTCCCTCCTGACCACCTCCGAAGATGCTGATGAGCCCCGGCGGCTCCAATTTCCACTGCCCACAGCCCAGCGGTCATTGGAGCCCGGGACCCCCCGCTGGGCCAACTATGTCAAGGGAGTGATTCAGCACTACCCAGGTATGGGGATTAGGGCTGAGTCAAGTTCATGCTGGTAGTATAGGAGCACCACCTCTCAGCTGCAAAGCTCCTTAGCTCATCTAATCCACCATGGGGTAACGTATAGGGGAGGGTATCCCTGTTTTACACATGATGAAACTGATGCCCTGAGAGGTTCCAGAACTTGTCCTGAGCTGCCCATTTTATGATTAGCGGACCAGGATTCAAACCCTAGCTTGTTGGCCTCCAGAGCCCTAAACCAGGAGGAGAGTTGGGAAGACTGTGTCCCAGGAACCTCAGGGTAGGAGGATGGAGACACAGCCCTGGAAGCAGCTATCAGGCATTGCCTCCCTGCATAACAAAATACATGCCCTTCGTGGGCCCATCCTCCCAGATGGCTCATCTTACCATCACCCATTCTTTCCAGCTGCTCCCCTCCCTGGCTTCAGTGCAGTGGTGGTCAGCTCAGTGCCCCTGGGGGGCGGGCTGTCCAGCTCGGCGTCCCTGGAAGTGGCCACATACACTTTCCTGCAGCAGCTCTGCCCAGGTACTTCCTAGACCCCAGCCTTCCTTCCCTGAGGTTTCCTTGTCAGAGATTGTTCCTCGACTGTGGCTTCCGGAGGAGGGTGGGGAATCGCTCTGGAGTGTCCTTGGAGGTCCCACTGCTCCCATTCGCCCACTCCTACGTGCCCCCCTCCTGGGCCCCAACCTCCTCACCTCCCCCTGTGCCGCAGACTCCGGGTCCATAGCTGCCCGGGCTCAGGTGTGTCAGCGGGCCGAACACAGCTTCGCAGGGGTGCCCTGTGGCATCATGGACCAGCTCATCGCACTGCTGGGGCAGAAAGGCCACGCGCTGCTCATTGACTGCAGGTCAGGGGCTCCCCTTGTACCCTCCCACCTCGTCATGAGGAGCTTCTGGGTGGAGCGTGCCCACCACCTGGTGTGGCAAGCAGACACTTGGGCTTGTCATCTCCCCACTCCGACTCCATGCCAGGTCCCTGGAGACAAGCCTGGTGCCGTTGTCAGAACCCAAGCTGGCCGTGCTCGTCACCAATTCCAACGTCCGCCACTCGCTGGGCTCCAGCGAGTACCCTCTGCGGCGGCGCCAGTGTGAAGAGGTGGCCCGGGCGCTGGGCAAGGAGAGCCTTCGAGAGGTGCAGCTGGAGGAACTGGAGGGTGAGAGCTGGCTGGGCATCCTGTGGGGCTGCCAGGCCCTTGACGTGGGCTTGACCCTCCTGTCTACCCCCTCCTCTCCGGGGGCCTGTGCTGTGCTCTGCCCACTCCCCCTAAGACTGCAGACCTAGGGCTCCAACCTCGGCAGGGCTGCTGAAATCTTAACATTGTTCTTTCTAAGAGGAGGATTACGTTTCTGCTGTGGAAAATGTCGGAAAACACACAGAGGAAAACAGTGAGCTAGAGGGCCACCACCCAGGGATAGCCACCGCTAACACCGCTGGTGTTTCTCTACATCTGCGTTTACCAAGTTCAGTATAGGCCATATGGTCACTGGCTTTCTCTTTCATTACATCTTAGAGCCCTTTCCTGTGCCATTAGGGGCACTTCATCAGCAAGGCTTCTAACACTGCAGCATACAGGTGTGTCATAAGTTAATCATTTTCTAATAATCCCGTGATGCGGCGGTGAATGTTTTCGTGCAAGAGAGTCTGTCTCATTATCTTCTTAGGAGTAGATTCTTAGGCGTAAGATCGCAGAGTCAAAAGGTGCAAGTATTTTAAAAACATTTTTTTTTTTTTCAACGTTTTTATTTATTTTTGGGACAGAGAGAGACAGAGCATGAACGGGGGAGGGGCAGAGAGAGAGGGAGACACAGAATCGGAAACAGGCTCCAGGCTCTGAGCCATCAGCCCAGAGCCTGACGCGGGGCTCGACCTCACGGACCGCGAGATCGTGACCTGGCTGAAGCCGGACGCTTAACCGACTGCGCCACCCAGGCGCCCCAAAAGGTGCAAGTATTTTAAAGGTTCACGATACACGTGGCCAGGAAGATAGGATATGTAATAGTTTGAGGGTCAAATTCCATCTCGCTCCGTCACACCTGTGGGGCAGATAGTCTTATTCCGTTCATCGTTTTGGATGAGGAAGCTACAGTAAGTGGCAGTGCTGAGTGAGACTCAAACCAGGCAGGTAACCCCCCATAGCCCGTACTCTCAGCCACGGGGCCAGGCTGCTGGCTTTGGGAGTTGTGCCCTCTCTGGCAGCGTGCGGGTGCCCATTTGGAGGACACTGGCCGGCCTGGTGGGACCAGCTTGTCCTTCTTGGTGACCTGTCATGTTCACACCTGCCCCACCTGCTCTGTGCAGGTGACCTTATTGGAGGTGTTCACGCTTGAACACTTTGGCCGTCCCTCCTCTCCACCGTATCCCTTCCCACCACTCCTGGGGTGTGTGTGTGGGGGGGGGTCTCCCCCAACCTTGGAAACATTGCTGTCCCCCGCCTTCTCCAGAGTCTTGTGCCAGAAGCCCTGTTTTCCCTCCTTCCTGTCCTCTGCCTGGCTCTTCCCCTTTTGCTTGGAAACCTGGTCGGTTTTCTTCCCTTCTAAAATTGAGTCTTTTTCCTGTGCTCATCTTGGAAGAAGACCTAATGCTTTTGGCCCCCATTTTCTCATCTCCACTCATTTCTCCGTCCTCTCGGTCGGCCTGCCCCTTGCTCCTGCCACCGGACACAGCAGTGCTCCCGGGGGGGGGGGTTCCCCGCACACACCCACAGCCTACATTCCCTCCCCCTCAGCGGCTGCCGCTCTCTCAGTCCTGTTGTGTGTGCCTGCCCCAGGCTTTGTCCTCAGTGCACAGCCCCAGCCACCATTGCTCCGCTTAGGACTCAGACAGGAGCCTGGAGCCCCTTGCTTTCCCGCCTGGAGCCCCCCCCCCCCCCCCCCCCGGCCCCATTTCCACCTGCAGTCCTGGAGCCTCCACCTGATTCCCAAGGGAACTCATCATCCTTTGTCCCCCATAGGCTTCTCCTGCTGAGAAGGATTATCTGTGAATTCTTCACCCTTGTCACTTCTGTTTGAAACCTCAGTCCCCTGTGTCCTCACTATCCACCCCCCCACCCCCAGTCTCCAATCTCTGTTCCCTCCATTCCTTCTTCCTCCACATCAGGCCCCTCGTTGGTTTCTGACTGTTTAACAACTGCTATTTGTGTTCCTGGTTCCTGCTTCTCCCAGCTTGGGCCCTCTGCCCTAGGCAGTCACTTTTGTCCACCAGAGCTCAGCTCCAGCCCTTCCCTGCTCCACAACCTGTGTGGCATCCAGAATTAAGTAGCAGAGTCCCCCGGTACCCTGGGCTGCCGCTACCGACTCGGCTTGCTTTCCCCACCTCAGCATTAGCCAGCAGGATAGCCTACTCTTGGTGGGCCCTGTGCCCTGTCTCTTGATCTTTGCCTGGGCTGTACCCCAACTCTGGAGCCCCAGCTCTCAGGGGCTCCACTGATGCTCCAGCGTAAACAGCGGCAGGATTTCTTCTCCCTCTTGTGCCACTGTGGACTCCTGTGTCCCCCTCACCTTGGAAGCGCCAAGAGTCTGGGGCTTACCCTGTTGTTTATTGAGCACCCACTGTGCACCGGGCACTCTGCTGGCATGTTGCCCAATCAGTGCATAGTGGGTCCCAGAGAGTGACATAGGGGTCCCATCTTATAGTCGAGGAGGAAAGGCTCCAAACTTTAGTCACCAATGCCAGGTTCTGTTTACAGCTCTGTCAGAACCAGGTCTAAGACTGGAGGCTCCCGGGGGGGCCCCCGCGCTACCGGCGGGGCCCCCCCCCCCCCCCCCCCCCCCGCCACCTCCACCCCGACCCCTGCCCCCTAGCCTCATCACCCTGGTGCCCCCATCCCTCCATCTGCACGGGCCCAGAGGTGGTGGGGTGGCAGGTCTGCTGACCCCTTTCCCTTCCCAGCTGGCAGAGAGCTGGTGAGCAAGGAGGGTTTCCGGCGGGCACGACATGTCGTGGGTGAGATCCGGCGCACGGCCCAGGCCGCGGCTGCCCTGAGCCGCGGAGACTACAGAGCCTTCGGCCGCCTCATGGTAGAGAGTCACCACTCGCTCAGGTGAGGACTCCTGGGTGCCTATATCTCCCAGGCACAGGCTGTCCCCAGGGCAGGGTGGGACCAGGCCTAGGCCCGCCCTCTCCTGTATCCTCTCCGCAGGGATGACTATGAGGTGAGCTGCCCCGAGCTCGACCAGCTCGTGGAGGCCGCGCTGTCAGCACCTGGGGTTTACGGCAGCCGCATGACTGGTGGTGGCTTCGGTGGCTGCACCGTGACCCTGCTGGAGGCTGCCTCCGTTCCCCAGGCCATGCAGCACATACAGGTGGGTGGGTGCCGGTGCCTGCGGGTGGGAGGGATGGAGAAAGGGCTTCCCAGGGCCCTGCCATGCTTAGACCCCACCTGCCTCTCCCCTAGGAGCAGTACAGCGGCACCGCCACCTTCTACCTCTCTCAGGCGGCCGACGGTGCCAAGGTGCTGCACTGGTGAGGCACTCCCCGGGACAGCACCCGGGCATGGGGCCTGCCAGGCAGCACGTCACGAAGCTCCAGGCCTCTGGCGCCTCTTGCCCTCTGCATCTGGGTGCTCAATAAACTTGTGCCTCCCACCACGATAACCCGCCTGCCTCTAGAGGTGGGTGTGTGCTTGGGGATCAGAGAAGCGTGTGTCAGAACCGCTCGCCTGCTCTGTCTGTGCTGGCACTCCCTGGAAGAACAGACAGGGCAGAGCCAAGCGGTAGCAAAATCTTTTATTAAGTGCAGAGCAAAGCTGGGTCCTTATGCTGGTCCCAGCTCTTTGGTTACGCACAAACGGGCTTGGGCCTGGGGTAAGGGAGTAGTGGCCAGAAGGACCATCTGGGACCTCTGCTCCCTTCACGCCTCCCAGAGGACACCTACCCTCTGCTCCGTAGCCAGACGTGCTGGCCCTGTGATCAGCATGGGGGTGTGCTGGGCTGCGAGGGGTCTGAGGATGGAGTAGCTGAGGCAGAGCCAGGAGGAGGAGGCAGGGTGGGGGCCCAGGTTCCAGGACACTGTCGGGTAGGGGTGGGGGGCTCAGGTCTGGAAGAACTGTTGGTCCACCTGGGTACTGAGGGTTCCACTGGTGGTCAGTGTCCGGCTCACAAACTCCTGGGTCACATGGCGGGTGAGGGAGCCACCTGCTTCCAGGCGTTGGGACCCCAGGGTCAGTCCATCTGCAGGGGAAAAAGCACTGAAGGACCCTGCCTGGGTCCCTGTCTGTCCTGCTCTGTTAGCGCTGTGCTCCCCCACGAGAACTAGGATCCCCTGCCCAGCGACTCACCCAAGAAGAAAGGCTCGGTTGTGCTGGTGTGGGTGGTGGTGATGCTGCTGTACTCGCCTGGCAGCTGGTGCTGGAAGAGCCCGGGGTGGCTGCCCAGTTGAGGGAAAGGGCCTGGCATGGGCAGATGAGCGCCAGTCAGGGATGGTGCCAGGAGATGTGGCCAGAGAAGGGGTAGGGGTGAAGAATGGGCAAGCCACCTCACCTCCGTCCTGGGACTCGATGGTGATGATACCCTCACGCTCCGGCCCATAGCCTTGGGTGGTCTTGGCCTGCACCTTGAACTTGTAGGGCACGTTCTCACTGAGGCCCGGCACTGTCAGCCGGCTCTCAGGGCTGTCGCCATCCACCAGGAACGTGGTGGCTGGCTCTGAGCAGGGAAGATGCCTTTAGCCTCTGTGGCTCCCTCTCCACCCCTCCCCTGGCCACCCCTGAGGTGGGGACGGGCAGCACCTCCTCCATGGGCCATCTCACAGGTCACCAGGTAGCCGAGGATATCCCCATCGGGCCTGCGTGGCCGTTCCCAGCTCAACTGCAGCGAGTCTGGGCTCAGGGCAGTAAACACCAGCGGGCCCGGGGCACTGGGTGTGCTCAAAGTGAAGGTGGAGCCTGGGGGCAGCAGAGCAAGACTGTCAGCGTGTGGGTGGCTAGGGGACGTCATGGGGGCAGCCTCGGGGTGGGGAGTCAACTCACCTGGCAGGGGGCAGAGTGGGCTCTGGGGGTGCACCTGCGACTCAATGGTGATGACACCCTCACGCTCTGGGCCCCAGCCTTCCTGACTCTGGGCCCGCACACGGAACACATAGGAATGGTTGGGCAGAAGGTCTTCCACCACCACCGAAGTCTGGCTGGGGCTAGGGATGTTGAGCCGATGCAGCTCCCCTGGGGAGGGCAGACCGGGGGTCAGTGTTACTCCTACCCCTGGCCTGATCCCACCCCTGCCCTAGGCTGCCACTGATCATCCCATCCAGGATTCGCTGCGGTTTGGGTACAGGTGGGGATCAGCCTGGTATGGTGTGGCTGGTAGTATGCTACACGAGGGATGAGTGGAGCCTAAAATCCCACCTATGTTCTGCCTGTTTGCGGGCCCAGGTCATTGCTGCTGCGAGTTTGCCTTCCCAGGGAAGCACCACTTCCCGGTTCCCACAAAAGCATCTCGCAGGCCAGCGGAGGCCCTGGGTCTGTCCCTAGGTCAGTGAGGCCTTGTTACGCAACGCCTCGCAGAGGGAATGACCTGGAGAGAGGGCCAGGGAGCTGGATAACTCAGAGGAGAGGAGGCAGTGATGGGCAGCGAGGAGCATGCAAGTGAGGCCCTCTCAGAACGTCTGGTGGGGATCATTAGTGTTGAAGGGACTTGGGTGGGTTCCTGTGCAGCTGGGTGCCCGAGCCTTGCAAGCCCCCAGCCTGCCGGCAGCTGTGCCTCACCCCCGTTCAGCAGCTGGTACTCCACACTGTAGCCCTGTAGCGCCTGCTCACACTGTGGCTCCTGCCAGCTCACTTTCAGAGACGTGGGGCCCAGAGCCGAGAACACCAGGCGGGTGGGTGTGTTGGGCACACCTGCAGCCAAGCGGGAGCCTGAAGACGGGAGGCCACAGTCAGTTTCTGGCCGGGGGGTCTCTGGGCAGGAGCCCTCCCTCTGACCTCCCGCGGCTGTCTCATCTCTGCTGGCCGCTGGCCTCGTGGCTCACTCAGCCTGCAACACCCTGTCCGGGCCACCCAGCACCTCCCTGGACAACTCAGAGTGGCTGCGGGCCCTACCTGTGCCTAGAGAGGATGAGCACCAGAAGTTGGCCGCCCCCTCCCCCTCAGCTGGTCTGGCCCCCCCTCTTCCCCCAGCCCATCACCCCCGGAAGGGCAGAGGCTATATTAGGCATCAGCATTGATGGAGATGAAAAATGGAGGGTGAAGTGCTGGGTTTGGGCAGTGGCTGCGATGAACAGATGGGTGACAGATGGAGCGGGACAGCTGTGGAGACGCGAGATGGCCACCCCTGTACTACCTGGGCCCCGAAAGGGCGCCGCTGGCTGCCCAGCCAGGATTATAGTGTCTCGGGAGTCCCCAGAGGGAGGGAACCCTTTCATCTGAGCCCGACTCAGGGACCCGAGGGCCCAGGACAGCGGAAGCCTGCTCCTCCCCTCTTCCCAGATGGGAGGGAGGCCTAGGGCAGGACAAAACAAGAGTGAGGGCAGGAAGTGTGCGTGTTGGAGGATGGGAAGCGGGGCCAGTAACCCCAGCCTCCTGGAGCTGGAGGAGAGGCGGGGTCAGTGGGAGAGGCAGGGCTGGGAGCGGACACTCACTGTGGGAGGACACGGAGGTGAGGGTGGAGTAGTCCCTGGGCAGCGTGGCAGAGTGGGAGTGGGAGTGTTCCGTGCGGGTCAGCGAGTGGTAGTCCCGCGTGAGGGTGGAAGATGTGCTCAGCACCCGGTGGGGCAGGTGTGGGCTCAGGTGGGTGCCGTAAGCGGTGTTGGCCACGGTCATCCTGTTCAGAGAGTTGGAGCTGCCTGGGAAGGCTACGTCCATCCGCCCGTTCACCACCAGGTGCTCTGTGGGAGGAGAGCAGGGTCACTTGGACAGGCCTGCGCCAGACCCAGACGCAGGCTGTGGCCCTGGGAATTCCTAGGATTACCTACCCTCTGAGGGGAGGGGGTGGGGGGCGCTTGGCATAAAGAAAACCAGCCTCTCTTGGCCCACCAGGGAAAGAAGCTCAGTGTTCCTGGCAGAGTCCAAGGGGCCACACAGGCTTCTGCAGCCCATGTCTGTCAGTCCTGCAGGATGCCAGTGTGGACCGTGTGAGCACCGCTGACCCCAGCTGGGAGACCTACTGCCCTTGCCGTCAGCCCTGCCTGGGGGAGAGCCCAGATGCCTGCCCTCGTGTCCCTTGAGACCTCTGGGGAGGTCTCCTTGGGTACTAGCGCCTGCCCCTGGGCACGACGAACTTCTGAAGTTGCATGCTCCTGCGGGCAGTCCTGCTTTGGGGAGATCACGAATGCCTGCCCCGGGGGTCCCTCGGCTCTGGGGGTCAGCCTCCACGCCGTAGCACCTCCCCAGGTTGGGCAGGGGGCCATTAGTGGGCAGCCTGACCACAGGGGGCTCAGGCTGGACGCAGGCGGCAAACGAGCGCGCCTGGCTGGGTGCGGGGTCGGGGCGCGCCGGGCAAGCCCGTCACCTCCGGGGGGCCTGGGTGTGGCGCCGCGGGCTAGGCCGCCACCCTCCCCGCCCGCGCCCCCGTCCGCGCTGTCTTCCGGGGGGCCGCGGGGCGGCTCGCCGTCGGAGGAGCGCCCGCTGCTGGCCGACAGGCGCGGGATGAGCTCCGGGGGCAGCCGCCACGTGACGCGCCGCAGGTCCAGCTCCTCCCCCAGCAGGGGCTCGAACTTCCAGCTGCCGCCTTGGGAACAACGAAGGGCCGCGTTGGCACCGCCGGCGGGCGCGGGCGGCTCCGGGAGGGGGCGCGGCGGGGCGGAGGCCAGCGACGTGAGCCCGTCCTCGGCTCTCCGGAATCCAAGTGTGGCGGGGCGGGGCGGGGAGGGGGCGGAGGGGTGAGGTTGGTCGCGGAGCAGGCGACAGGCGGGCCCCTCGGCCCGCAAGACGGAAGGCCAGAGCTGGCAGGGCTGCAGCTGGGGAGGACAGGCCCCAAGGGTAGCCCTGGCTCTGGCACCAGATGTGAGGCCTCTTGGTCTGAGCCTCAGTTTCCCATCTGTACACTGGAGAGAGTAATCTCTCCCCTGCCTGCCTACCAGGGACAGTTCCAGAAGCCACAGAGCGCGTCACAAGATAGTGTTAACAGCTGAGCTTTCTCTCATACCCTCAAAACCCCGCGACCCTTGGGCTGGGGTTCCTGAAGTCCAAGCTCAGCTCTGTCAGGGCACGTAGGTGTTCACAGGGGGCCTGAGGCTTAGGCAAGGGTGGAAGAAAGTAGAAATCCAGAGAACCTTCACTCGTGGCATTGTATGACTGGCATCCTATTTTACAGATCAGAAAACTGAGGCACAGAGAGGGCGAGCAGTTCATCTGATGTCCCACAGCAGAGCCAAAGCTAAAACTGAGAACCAGGGAGTCCAGCCAAGGACCCTTTGTACCACACTGCAGGGAATCAGGAGGGAAGAGGAGCACTGGACCAGTGGACGGGACAGGGGACACTGCCTCCCTGACCCTGGGCAGGTGGCTGCTCTGAGCTTCTGGGTCATGCCTGCCTCCTCCCACCTTGTCCCTGGGAGGTGGCCCGAATGTCCTGACTCCATGGCACAGCTGGTGAGCCTTCCAGAAGCAAGGCTGTGTTTCCACACTGGTCCCATGTGCATGAGCCTACATGACTCTGTGTGCATCTGCTCCCAAGCAAGTCTCTGCCTGTGCTTATACACAGATGTGCACACTACTGCATGTGGGCCACGTTGGCGTTGTCCCCTCTGTACCCAGTGCCAGTATGATGCCTGCCAGATGGTCGGCTCTGCAGATATCCACCTGGAGCTGAGAGGGACTTCTGGTCTTGACCTCTAGGCCCAGTGGTCATCGGCCCCTTTGCTTTCTCTGGACACCAGTGACAGCCCCACCTCCTACCCAGGACTTCCTCTCATGGATCCCAGGCCCACTCACCGGTGTCGTCGGAGACGCTAGGCCTCTGGCTGCCAGCCGGGGAGCGCAGTACTTCGTCGCTGTACATGAGGAAGCTCTCGTAGTCTTCCCCGCACTGGGCGTCCACGATGGGGATGTCCGGGATGATGGGGACTGCAGGGGTGGGAGAGGTGAGCCAGGGACCCAGCCCCCCTCTCCTCCCCTCTCCACCCTGTGCCCTGCCCCACCCCCACCCCCACTCACTGGACATGGGCCGCTTGGGCTGGGTGGCCAGGTTGATGATGGCCTCCCGCTCGGGCCCCCAGCCTGCCCCGTTGCGCGCCTTCACTGTGTAGCGGTATGGCTGGGACTCCCGCAGGTTCTCAATGAGCAGCATCCGCCTCTTAGGAGTGTCCACCAACACCTTCTTCATGGGCCCGATGGGTCCTGGGGCAGGGAGAGTGCCTCAGAGGGGTCCTTCTACGTTCCTGCCTGGCCCAGCCCCGCCTCTGATGTAACAGCACCGCTGCGTGGTCTCTGAATTGCACGGAGAGGGCGCAGGGGACAAGGCAGAGAGCAAGCAGCTATTGGAACTCCTGTGTCGTGCCGCGCCCTGAGAACCTGGGTGTGCCTCATTTAAGGAAGGGTCACCAACTCTCCGAAGGGCTGGCTCATCCTTAAGTGGCAAAGCCAGGACTAGACTCAAGGTGGCCCCACTGTGACCTCTACGGATTGGTAAACGGTCCTGTGTCCAGAGCGCCTCCACCTGAGGCACACTCCGGCAGCGAGGGTGCCTCTGTCTCATTGTCCACACGACCAGACCCCAAGTGCTCTGTTGAGGAAGTGAAAGTGGAGATATCCAGACACCCACCCCAGCTGCCCTGTGGTCACCGGAGCAAGGACTGGAATAGAGGGGTGGGCTCAGGGAAGCTGCACCTCCGGGCAGGCTGAGGCTTCGGAGAGCGAAGGGGTGGGGAGAAGGGTGGAGAAGAGGGCCAGCAGTGACAGGTGAGCAGAGAGCAGAGGCCAGGCAGCTCTCCTCCACTCACACCTAGAAGGGCAGACATGCAGCCCTGGGAGAAAGGAGAAAGTGACCCTCGTTGTTCTGAGCAAGTGACGGCACCTGGGCCCAGACACAGCAAGAAGTGCCCTGCCATGCTAGAAGGCTTCTGGGAGACCCGAGAAGGCCCAGAAGGATGGAGGCCAGAAAAGGTCCCAGTTTCCAAAGAGGTCCAAAGGAGGGTTCTGGAAAGTGCTACCTGATAAGCTTGATGTCTACCCCCAGCCAACCACTGTGCTTAAAAAGAATTGATTGGTGGAGGCCCATCAGCCTGGGGGAGGTCTCTAGCTGCCAAGGTGGGCACTGTTCTCCACCCACCCCTCACATCTCTTTCAGCTAGTGGGAACACCCACCAAAGTGCTGATGCCCTCAGCCAGGAGGGCCATCCAGCACATTCCAGGACACAGCTGAGACCTCAGCAGACTGAAGCCACGCCCGAAATCATCAGGGATGAACTTTGGACAGGGTACGTATCATTCCTGGGATGAAAGGCGGGATCAGAGGACACTTCCTAACAGTGGTCCATGGGCAGACTAGGTGTCATAAACCTGGAACAGGCCAAAGGTGTGATGTAGCTGCTGAGGTTGCATGTGGTCTGCTTGGCTGGTAAAGAGCCACGAGCCTGATGTCTAGAATAATCTTGGGGCCCTCTGCCCTTTTGGGCCATCCCCGAAGCGCTGCGCCTGACCCACGTTAAGGTCCGTGGGTCATATGGGGTGGTGAGCCCTGCAACCCTGGGACGGAGCAAGCAGAAGTGAGGGCACAAGGAGGAGGTCCCTGCACCAGGCGGCAGGTGGAACCGATTTCCCTCACTTCCTCATCTTGGCCATTGGCAAGGGGTGCCCACCCTTCCCTCCCTTCCAGGACTGGGAAGAAATAACAGTGCTGCCACGCACTCCGGCCTTGGGCTGTTATTTGAGATGTACTTAAAAAAAAAAAATGGTTTCTCTGAAATTCAGGGCATCCCCTATTTGCTAATCCTACCAACTCTACTTTGGCCCTACAAGAACCGCGTGAGAGTGAGCCGTGCGGGTTTGCTGTATGGGAAGCCTTCTCATGCCTTCTATCCCCACCTGCCCTGTGAGCTTCTGGGCTTGGTCTCGGGATGCAACCAGCCCCAACCTGACCACAAACCTGATGATGCCTCGGGCAACCAGACCTATGGGACACATCCACCAACCGGGACGATGTGACCTTCCTCCTGCGCTTTGCTCCCTCCCCTTCCTGCTGTCCTAGGGGCAGGAGGGGCCCACGTCCTTACGGTTGTCCTCGTTGACCAAGCCGTAGCAGACCTCGTAGGCCGTGATCTCTCCGTTGGTCTCAGCTGGCTCAGCCCAGCTCAGCTGGGTCACCGTGGAGGAGACGACATTGAAGGCCAGACGCCCCGGCTCACTGGGTACTAGGGAAGGAGGGGGGGCAGTGTAGGAAGAAAGCTGTCAGCAGCAGCAGGTGGAGGGCAGGGTTCTGGGAGTAGAGCGGGCAGAGCTGGGCACGGGGGCATCAGGGTGGTTCCGGGACCGACGTGTGGTGAGGCCTCACCTTCCTGTTGGGTGCGGCAGGACACCAGGGAGCTGTAGGGACCCTCGCCCTGTGCCCCGTAGGCGCACACCTTCATCTCATAGTCGCAGTATGGGTACAGGTTCGTGAGCTCCACCGAGGGCACCTTGCTGTCGAGCAGGTGGGCCTCGGATTCCGAGTCACCCTGGATCCAGTACTTCACCTGCTCCCAGGGGAGGAACTGGTCAGCGGGAGGCGTCAAGTGCCAGAGCTGCTCGTTGACCTCCTGCCCTTGTTGTCCCCTTTGCACCGATGAGACACGGAGGGGTTGGTGACCTGCCAGGTTCACACGGCAGGGCTGGGGCAGAACTCGGGTGTCTTCTGGGTGGGGGGAGGGGCCGCATTCCAGGAAGGAGGGCGAATGTCTGAAAACTTCAGGGACGGGCCTTCGCTCTTCCCCGGGCGGATGGGGGTTCCCCCTGTCCACTTGTGCTTGGCTCCCCAGGGCCAAGCGTGCCCCCTCTGCCCCCCCGGGGGCTCTTTGGCTTCAGGTGGCCCGTCTCCCCAGTGGGTACCAGCCCTCCGTGTCCACCTCCCTCCTTGCCTCCCACCTTACCCTGTACCCCGTTGGCTTGCCCGGAGGGGGCAGCCAGTTGAAGTGGATCTTTCGGGACCCGGCGGCCTTGGCATTGGGGTTCTGTGGGGCACCCAGGTCGCCAGGGTGAGGTGGAAATGATGACAGCGTCGGGCTTGTGAAGTTCCGGTCCAGTTCATCTGCAGTGGGCCGAGTCAGCGCGGGTCAGACAGCTCAGACACCCCCTCTTTGAGTGAAGCAGGAATCCACCCTCACCACCAGGGGGCTCCAGAGACTCAGTTACCAACTCTTCCCTGCCTCAACTGACCACTGACAACTGACAGCACTCAGCACCCAGGACTCTGGGGGGGCTGGTGCCCCCACTGGTGCTACAGAGGGCATCCTGCCCTCCTGGTGGAGGACCCGGAGGCAGGGGGTGTCTGGAGGAATGAGAAGGAGGAGGGAGATCGTCTGTCCTTCTTTCTCCCTTGGCAGCCAAAGGAATGTGCCATGTCAGAACGTTTGTTTCTATGCCCCCCTCCCCAGCGTGCTCCCCACTCTACTCTGAGAATCCCCCCTCCTCTCCTATCTTCCAGGCAAGGCTTCTCTGGGGTGGGCTCATAGACACCACCATACTGGAAGTTAAGGACCCGTAAGAACTGTTACGCCCCTCTAGGAAACACCTGCATTTTAGCTGGAACTGAAGCTGAACTCAAAGGGCTAAGACCTAACGGTGGGGTTCATGGCGCCGCCAGCAGGCTGGGTAGCCACAGCGTGACTCCACCCTCTTTGGCTGAGAGCAGGATTGCTGGATAAAATGCAGGACCCCTAGTTAAGCCAGAATTTAAGATGAATAACAAATAGGATAAGTATATCCCACTGAGGTGTGGGACATACTTACACAAAACTTGTTCTTCGTTTACCTGAAATCCAAATTTAACAGGGAATCCAATATTTTATTTGCCCATACTGCAGCCTTAGTGGAGAGGCCCCCAGCCCTCCCTCCCCACCTGCTGAAGGGGCTCTGCCCACCTCGGTCTCCAATGACGACGGTGGCTGAGTGGGGCTGGCCCAGGCGGGCCCCAAACTTGGGGTTGCTGAGTTGAATGTGGAAGCGGTGGGTCTGGCGGCCCCGCAGGAGGGAGTCTATCTCCCGCGGCTCCAGGAGCTTCACCTGCAGCTCCTTCCAGGTCTCCCCAGGTTGGAATAGCAGATCCCCCTCTGCAGGGATGTAGTCCTGGGAGGGAGAAGGGGTCAGGGTCAGACCAGGCCTGGAGGATGAATCATGCCACTCCACCCCAACCTCCTGGATACGGCAGAGAGACCATCCCACCTGCACATGAAATGGCTCCTGTTTCCGTAGCACCTCCCGTGCATCAAGCTCTTTGCACTTACTAGCTCATTTGACCCTCACAGCAAGGTGAGGTGGAGCTATTACTGTCCCATTTTACAGATGAGGAACTGAGGCACACGGAAGGGTGGAGAAACTTGCCCAAATTCACACAGGCAGTTGTGATAGAGCTGAGGTTTGAACCAAGGCCCAGAGATGGGGATGTATAAAGATCCAGAAGAGTCTCACACAAGCAGACCCCATCCAGGGAGGGAAGAACTGTGCCCCACACTGTGGCTCTGAAGTCTGGGATCCGACCAGGCCCCAGGCCCTGCCTCCTAGGGAGGGTGCCCCCATCAGCTCCAGGTTTCTTCCTTCAGTGCCCCAGGGCTCTCCCGAGCAACCCGGGGAAGTATGGCCGTGTCAACATACATGTATCCTGCTCACATGAGACCACTAGGTGGCGATGCACACTAACATTTCAAGTTCAGGCCCAGCAGGGGGCAAATTCAACAGTTTAGAAACCCAGAAAGAGACACTGCAGTCAGTGTAAGAAAAGCAGGAGTTACCCACTGGACGACTG